TCCTCCAGATCCTGTACTGCCCCCCACCCCCAATCTCAGTAGTCGGCGGCAGAGAGGACAGATCTCATCCTCCAGATCCTGTACTGCCCCCCACCCCCAATCTCGGTAGTCGGCGGCAGAGAGGACAGATCTCATCCTCCAGATCCTGTACTGCCCCCCACCCCCAATCTCAGTAGTCGGCGGCAGAGAGGACAGATCTCATCCTCCAGATCCTGTACTGCCCCCCACCCCCAATCTCAGTAGTCGGCGGCAGAGAGGACAGATCTCATCCTCCAGATCCTGTACTGCCCCCCACCCCCAATCTCAGTAGTCGAAGGCAGAGAGGACAGATCTCATCCTCCAGATCCTGTACTGCCCCCCCACCCCCAATCTCGGTAGTCGAAGGCAGAGAGGACAGATCTCATCCTCCAGATCCTGTACTGCCCCCCACTCCCAATCTCAGTAGTCGGCGGCAGAGAGAGACAGATCTCATCCTCCAGATCCTGTACTGCCCCCCGCCCCCAATCTCAGTAGTCGAAGGCAGAGAGGACAGATCTCATCCTCCAGATCCTGTACTGCCCCCCCCCCATTCTCAGTATTCGGCGGCAGAGATGAAAGATCTCATCCTCCAGATCCTGTACTGCCCCCCACCCCCAATCTCGGTAGTCGGCGGCAGAGAGGACAGATCTCATCCTCCAGATCCTGTACTGCCCCCCACCCCCAATCTCGGAAGTCGGCGGCAGAAAGGGCAGATCTCATCCTCCAGATCCTGTACTGCCCCCCACCCCCAATCTCAGTAGTCGGCGGCAGAGAGGACAGATCTCATCCTCCAGATCCTGTACTGCCCCCCACCCCCAATCTCAGTAGTCGAAGCAGAGAGGACAGATCTCATCCTCCAGATCCTGTACTGCCCCCCACCCCCAATCTCAGTAGTCGAAGCCAGAGAGGACATCCTCCAGATCTCATCCTCCAGACCCTGTACTGCCCCCCACCCCCAATCTCGGTAGTCGGCGGCAGAGAGGACAGATCTCATCCTCCAGATCCTGTACTGCCCCCCACCCCCAATCTCAGTAGTCGGCGGCGGCAGAGAGGACAGAACTCATCCTCCAGATCCTGTACTGCCCCCCACCCCCAATCTCGGTAGTCGGCGGCAGAGAGGACAGATCTCATCCTCCAGATCCTGTACTGCCCCCACCCCCCCAATCTCGGTAGTCGGCGGCAGAGAGGACAGAACTCATCCTCCAGATCCTGTACTGCCCCCACCCCCAATCTCGGTAGTCGGCGGCAGAGAGGGACAGAACTCATCCTCCAGATCCTGTACTGCCCCCCACCCCCAATCTCGGTAGTCGGCGGCAGAGAGGACAGAACTCATCCTCCAGATCCTGTACTGCTCCGTGCAGCCACAGCACCCCTTGTTTCTGCCTCCACTGGTCTCAGCATTCACTGGTCTCAGACCTCCTCTGGTCCCCCTACAGACCCTGTACTTTCTGCTTCTCAGCTCTGCCCCCAACTTCTTTGCAGCAGCACACGATAAGTGGGGTGCACTGCGATATAAGGGAGGGTGGGGGACTCTACCCCTGATGGTGGGGGGAACTTGACTTCTGATCTAATGGGGGTGGGGCGCTCTGCACATCTAAGTCTTACAGATACAGCCAGATTTCTGAGGGCAGCCATGATGAAATGGAATCTGACACGTCTGCCTTGGATAATTCAGGTTCTTGCCGCTCTAAGACAATGGCACACTACATCAGTAAGGAGAGAAACTGTATCCTGAAGCCTCAGCACACTGAGGATCCTCAAACTAACTCATCCAAAAGGGATCAATTACATTCCTCAGTTGTGTGCAGCAGGGCATGCAAACAAACATTCTAACACCCCCTGCATCCTGGATCAGCTACCATGGAAGTGATTTTAGCCATGAAATCTGACATAACAGCAGAAAAAACCCTCCCTGGAAAGCGAAGAGGTGGGGAGGAGGGGGTAATAATTACTACACTGACACCAACAATGAAGCACTATTCCTCCCACTGACACCGATAGGGTAATATTTCCTGCACTGACACCAATGACGTGGCATTAATTCCTGCACTGACACCAACGGGGGCACTATTCCTCCCACCGACACCAACGGTGGGGCAATATTCCTCCTGGGGCACTATTCCTCCCACCGACACCAACGGTGGGGCACTATTCCTCCCACCGACACCAACGGTGGGGCACTATTCCTCCCACCGACACCAACGGTGGGGCACTATTCTTCCCCCACCGACACCAACGGTGGGGCACTATTCCTCCCACCGACACCAACGGTGGGGCACTATTCCTCCCACCGACACCAACGATGGGGCACTATTCCTCCCACTGACACCAACGATGGGGCACTATTCCTCCCATTCCTCCCACCGACACCAACGATGGGGCACTATTCCTCCCACCGACGCCAACGGTGGGGCACTATTCCTGACCGACCAATGATGGGGCACTATTCCTCCCACTGACACCAATGATGGGGCACTATTCCTCCCACTGACACCAATGATGGGGCACTATTCCTTCCACTGACGCCAACGATGGGGCACTATTCCTCCCACTGACACCAATGATGGGGCACTATTCCTCCCACTGACACCAATGATGGGGCACTATTCCTCCCACTGACACCAATGATGGGGCACTATTCCTCCCACTGACACCAATGATGGGGCCCTAATAACGCCATTAATACCAAAGATGTGACATTGTTTATTTCCAGTGGTGTTGGAACATTTCTTACTCTCGCAGGGCCTAGTCCGCCTCCCAATAAAGTTTGAAGGACAGTACACTGGTCCTGGTCTAGAAAACGCAAACATTCAGCAAAAAATAAACGTTAATTTTAGGGGCACACAAATGCAATACATTACCCACTTTTCTGGTAAAATCTAAAAGATGAGGTTGCGCTAAGTTAATAGATACCCAACATGACAAATATTTGCAAAATTTTAGAACAAAAACTAAGCAAAAAATTCTTTTTTTTTTAGAATTTTTGGTATTTTCTCATTTGTATAACAAGTAAAAAAAAAAAAAAAGCTGTATGTAAACAATTCAGATCTCTCCCGCATGCACACAGTTAACCCTTTGATCGCCCCCCCCCCCCCATGTTAACCCCTTCCTTCCCAGTGCCACTATTACTTTTTATTAGCACTGATCAGTGTATTGGTGTCACTGGGGATGTCAGTGACACCAAGTCAGTTCCCCCCCCCCCCCCCCCCCCCCAGTGTCAGAATGTCCGGCGCAGTCCCGCTATAAGTCACTGTTTGCCGCCATTACTAGTAAAATTCAAAAGGATCCCATATCTATACCGCCATTTGTAAACGCTATAAACTTTCACGTAAACCAATTCATTTACATATATTGGGATTTTTTTTTCAGCAGACACGGAGCAGAATACATTCCAACCGAAATTTGAATTTTTAAAAAATTTTTACTGGACACGTTTAATAGCAAAAAGTTAAAAAAATGTTTTTTTTTTTTTTTTTTTTTAAATTGTCGGTCTTTTTTTATTCACGGCAAAAAAAAAAATACAAAACGGATAGGCAATCAAATACTAGCAAAAGAAAGTTCAATTTGGGGGGGAAAAAAGGACGTACATTTTATTTGGGTGCAGCGTTGCATGACCGCACAATTGTCAGTTAAAGTCACACAGAGCCGTAAAGGCAAAAAAATAGCCTGGTCAGGAAGGGGGGGGGACTGGTTTTTTGGGGTGTGTCCTCTTGGGGGTGTGAGGGGTTAGCTGACACTGTGAGTAAACACTGACCGCTTCCATCTGATGTTATCATCGCACCTTGTGGTTGTTTATAAATGGCAGGAGCGGACACAAAGCCGCCTCCCCCTTCTTCCCGCACACCGATCACCTACCGACACCCCTCCTCTCACCTTTCCCGGGACTGCACGTGTCCGCCAGCACCGGCCGCTCTATACAACAAAAGCGCGCCTTCCGCATACGCGACGTCACACGGCCGGAGGCACGTTGCGGCTGTTGCTATGTGACCCGTTCAGCGCGCCCAAGCTAAAACTTTATTGTTTGCTGACAAAACATTTCTAATAAAAAAAAAATTTTATTTATTTACTGTATTTTTATTTTTTTTGCACTTTTGCTGCCACTGAGTGACTCTAGGTTCACATCTGTTCGGTTGGTGCCGCTGAGGATCCGCACGCAAATCCGTGCAGCCGCACCACCCGTACAGAAGAAGGCGGACCCGCGGGCGGGTGCCATTAGTTCTAATGGCACGCCACTGGAAACCGCAACTGTACTGGGAACCGAGGCTGCGTTTTCCAAAGAAGTGTCCGGGACTTCTTCCCTACGTGTCACAGGCACGGGAGTCCATTCAAATGAATGGGCTCTTGTGCCCGTGCAAAACGCGCCCTGCATGGCTGCATAGAGCAGAACCGGGGGTGAATGAGCGCCAATAGTGGCGTTATGTCTGATGATAATACAGTGCTGGACACCTACGCTCTAGAAATAAATGGCCAGTTAGGCCAGGTTCACAGCTATGCAGTTTGCCTTTGATCCATTTCTGCAGTGCTTTTTGCGGTGTGTTTTGCGTTTTAGATGCATTTTGCGGGTTTTCTTTTTTTTTTCTTGTTTCTAGGCAGTTTAAACCGCAAAACGTGTCAAAAATGCACTACATGCTTTTCTACAGCAACTCCATTGAAGTCTATAGAACCTAAAATGTGACATTTTGCCTTTAAAATAGTCGCTGACCCTTTCCAAAAACCGCATTGGGTGAAAGCGTGGAGATGTGAACGTGTCCCCATAGGAAATCATGTTCAATGGACTGTAGTGTGTTTCTGTCAAATGCAACACAAAATGCTTAGGTGTGAACCTAGACTAAGTGCCCCTTACACTGGTGGTGGGAGGTCAGTAAAATTCTGTGGCTCAGCCATGATTTTAACACCCTGCCCTTCCCCATCCCTAACTGATACATACAAAATCTGTCCATCAGAGTCCTTATCACAGTCTCTTTTGCATCAGAGTGCCCTCTTTGCATCAGGTGTCTCCATCAGAGTGCCCCCTTACATCAGGTGTCCCCATCAGAGTGCCCCTTACATCAGGTGTCCCATCAGAGTGCCTCTTTACATCAAGTGTCCCCATCAGAGTGCCCCCTTTACATCAGATGTCCCCATCAGAGTGCCTCTTACATCAGGTGTCCCTAGCAGAGTGCCTTCTTACATCAGGTGTCCCCATCAGAGTGCCCCATACATCAGGTGTCCCCATCAGAGTACCCCCTTACATCATGAGTCCCCATCAGAGTGCCTTCTTACATCAGGTGTACCCATCAGAGTACCTCTTTACATCAGGTGTCCCTATCAAGTGCCTCCTTCACATCAGGTGTCCCCATCAGAGTGCCCTCTTACATCAGGTGTCCCCATCAGAGTGCCCCCTTACATCAGGTGTCTCCATCAGAGTGCCCCATACATCAGGTGTCCCCATCAGAGTACCCCCCCCCCATTACATCATGAGTCCCCATCAGAGTGCCTTCTTACATCAGGTGTACCCATCAGAGTACCCTCCTCTTTACATCAGGTGTCCCTATCAAGGTGCCTCCTTCACATCAGGTGTCCCCATAAGAGTGCCCTCTTACATCAGTGTCCCCATCAGAGTGCCCCTTTACATCAGGTGTCCCCATCAGAGTGCCCCCTTACATCAGGTGTCCCCATCAGAGTGCCCTCTTACATCAGGTGTCCCCATCAGAGTGCCCCCTTTACATCAGGTGTCCCCATTAGAGTGCCTTCTTACATCAGGTGTCTCCATCAGCGTGCCCCCCCTTATATCAGGTGTCCCCATCAGAGTGCCTCCTTACATCAGGTGTTCCCATCAGAGTTCCCCCTTACATCAGGTGTCCCCATCAGAGTGCCCCCTTACATCAGGTGTCCCCATCAGCGTGCCCCCCCTTATATCAGGTGTCTCCATCAGAGTGCCCCCTTACATTAACTGTCCTCATCAGAGTGCCCCCTTACATCAGGTGTCCCTATCAGAGTTCCCCCTTACATCAAGTGTCCCCATCAGAGTGCCCCCTTACATCAGGTGTCCCCATCAGAATGCCCCCTTTACATCAGGTGTCCCTATCAGAGTGCCTTCTTACATCAGAGTGCCCCCTTACATATGAAGCAGACTATAGCTAGCCTCTGCTGACCTTAATCCTCAATCAGTGCACATTGAGAATACACCACTGACCGTAGCTCTAAGCTGGATAAAATTTTAAACTGGGTCGGAGTTGGCCCGCAGGCCATAGTATATAGAGATTGTATAGGTTTTGTAAATGCTTTTAATGGAATAAAAGTTGTATTTTATGATACTCAGTTTCCTTATCTACAGTATGTACCTCATAAAGTCCATGACTACATATCATGTTCTTAGTACTCTATCAATTGATTGTAGACCAAACGAATCTGTATGCCGACCAGTACATTGTTGCCAACTCAAATTCCAACCTTGCTAGGCCAATCGGGTGGAAACCTATCACAGTTTCCAAATGTAAAACTTCTTTGGGCCTAACTCTTAGCACGGCCTTACAAAAAAAGAATGAATTGTTGGATATTGACCCACAAACTCAATTCATCATATGCCAGTGTTCTCTGCCTGCAATGGCCAGTAAAAGATAGGAGATAATGATGCATTTCAACAATACCCTCTGTCATCCTCGAGGTGACCCTATGATCAGCCCCTCATATACTACCTCTTCAAGAAATTGGCAGATGTGTATACGCCCCAACAAAACATCCCTCATTTTGCAGGCAGGCTTGCAATAAAGCAGCATCCCCCAACAAGCATGCCCAATCTGGGGTCAAAATGCTAAAGTTCCGTGAGAGGGCCACAGGATACACATACACGCTTAAGAGTTTATGAGGGAAAAGCCAGTCAAGTAAAGTCCTCCAAATGCCCAGAGGAAGGGGAGCAGTGGCAAGATAGTCTGGGACTTGGTGTCCCCACTGTTCCGGTACCACTTGTACATGGACAACTTGGAAGTGAGCGTGTTACTATTTAGACACTTACTGCTGGTTCACATCTAAGCGGGTGGTGCCGCTGCGGATCCACACGAAAATCCGTACAGCCGCAGAGAGACATGCGGACCCGCGGGCTGGTGGCATTAGTTCTAATGGCACGCACCTGCACTGGAAAACTCAACTGTACTGGGAACAGAGTTTCCCGGGCTGCGTTTTCCAAAGTAGTGCAGGGACTTCTTTCCCTGTGTGTCATAGGCACAGGAAACCATTCAAATGAATGGGCTCTCATGCCCAAGCAAAACGCGGCCCACACGGCCGCACATATGTGAACCGAGGGAAATTCAATCTTGGAATTGGCTACTGTGGTGCCGTGAACCCTAAACGCCGGAGCTTCCCCCAACAGCTAGCTAACGCCCAACTTAGAAAGACCCTGTTTGCGCAATTAAGAACTTCTCTTGGTGAAGTGGAAGGACAAACATGATGTTCCGTTCATGCAGATACAACAGTCCAAATTTGTGTGGCCTTGTTGAAAAAACTCTCTGCGTCCACAAATATATTCTTAATATGGGAGGGGTGGACTTCAGCAAATCATGAGGCCGTATTTAGCTTCCCGCAAATTTTGACACTGGTACAAAAAGATGTCTTTATATTTATTTCAGATGGCTGTATATAACGGTTTTATAATATACAAAACTATTGAAAGAAATGGATCCTGCAGGAGATTTCCCATCAGCAGTTAAGAAAAAAAAAAAAAATTGTGTATGCGCAATAATGATGGGCCTAGAGTGGTAAGTGGGCCAGGGGCGGACTGACCATTTGGAAATTCGGGCACTGCCCGGGGTCAGTAGGGGGCCCCATGAGATGCCCCTGGTACCTTTTTCATAGGCTTTTTTGAGTTTGGGCAAGGACACAGGGGCCCCATGATTCCCTATTGCCCGGGGGGCCCCATGAGTTGTCTGTCCGCCCCTGAAGTGGGCAAATCACTCCTATACTTCAGCATAACATTTTTCACTTTTTTTTCCTGGCAGAGAATTCTTCATGCACATTGATCGATGCAAAGGGAGGAATTTGTTAAAGTGATGTGTAAATCCCAGGCACGTGCACGCGCTCAGACCAGCGTATAATCCCAGGCACGTGCACGCGCTCAGACCAGCGTATAATCCCAGGCACGTGCACGCGCTCAGACCAGCGTATAATCCCAGGCACGTGCACGCGCTCAGACCAGCGTATAATCCCAGGCACGTGCACGCGCTCAGACCAGCGTATAATCCCAGGCACGTGCACGCGCTCAGACCAGCGTATAATCCCAGGCACGTGCACACGCTCAGACCAGCGTATAATCCCAGGCACGTGCACACGCTCAGACCAGCGTATAATCCCAGGCACGTGCACACGCTCAGACCAGCGTATAATCCCAGGCACGTGCACACGCTCAGACCAGCGTATAATCCCAGGCACGTGCACACGCTCAGACTAGCGTATATTAGATATGTGCATGTGTTTAGACCAGTGTATATTATCAGATATTTGGAAGTGTTCAAACCAGTGTATAATCCCAGGCACGTGCACACGTTTAGGCTAGCGTATAATCCCAGAACATGCACATGCATAGACCAGTGCATAATCCCAGGCATGTGCACGTGCACAGACCATGTAAATCTGTCACAACATCCAACTATGCAATGACAACTACTAAAGTCTCCAAATAGTAAAGTTCTGCTTTTAAGAAAACCAGTACCGAGAGAAAAATGAAGTTTCCCATTGCCTGGTTACTTGCCTCGAGCTTTAATACATGACCTGGAGCAAGTGCAGAGATCAAGAAAGCACCTATATACTTGCTCAGCAACTTACCTGCTCTGTGTAATTGTTTTGCACAGAGCAGCCCCGATCCTCCTCTTCTTGAGTACCCTACAGGCTCTCTAGGCTCTTCACTCCTGTGGATTGCTCACATAGTAAGCAGCTTGATATTGGGGCACTTGTGCATACTCACTCCCGAGCCCCACTCTGTGTGTCCATTGACACATGGGGGTTGATTTACTAAAATTAGAGAGTGCAAAATCTAGTCAAGCTGTGCATGGTAGCCAAAGGAGCTTCTAACGTCAGCTTGTTCAATTAAGCTTTGACAAGAAAGCCTGGCTACCATGCACAGCTGCACCAGAGGAGCGAGCATGCTCAGGTGTCCCTACAGCAAGCAGCTGCTATGGGAGTAATCAGCAGGATGAAGGAGCCAAGTGAGCCAGCAGGGGACTCAAGAAGAGGAAGATCGGGCTGCTCTGTGCAAAACAATTACACAGAGTAAGTTTGCCAATGGTTCCTACTGCTGTCCCTCAGCCAGTGAGGAGGGAGAGAGCCGAGATTGGGCTCAGGTAAGTATTAGGAAAGCTGAACACAGAAGAGTTTTTTTACCTTCATGCATAGAATCAGCCATTACAACCACTTTAAAGCAGACCTTTCCACCTATTTTCCAAATTTCACATCCGCATGTACTCTGAACTAGTGTGAAATCACCCAACACTGATTTAAAAAAGAAAACTTTTTGATTTATTTACCTTTCTTCTTTCTGGTCCCCTCAAGGCCCTAGTGAGGTATCCCCAGCTGTAGAGATGTTCCCTGGAAAGGCAACATCACTAAGTGACCCTGTATGTAGGCTGTTAGATCTGGCAGTATTCTGACTGCACATGTGCGAAATGAAGCCTATGACGTAATGCGCTTCACCTCACGCATGCGCTATATGGCATTTAACTAATTCACCATTAAAAAAAAACTTGTTTCCATGAGATCACGGGGGCACAAATGAGTGTACTGTTGTGCGGCACATGCGCAAGATGGGGGGGAGGGGGGGGGCGTATGATAGCATGCGTTCCACCTCATGCATGCACAAGACATCCTACTTTTCAATAGGACACAGAGGCAGCCTGAAAAGAGATCCACAAGAAGGTGATCCACAAGATCAAATACCACCGAAAGAAAAAAAGGACAAACATTTCCTTTGGATGCAGTGTTGCATGACCGTGCAATTGTCAGTTAACCACATGCCGCCCAGCCACTGTAGAAATACGTTGGCAGGGCGGCACGGCTGGGCAAAACCACATTTTAAAACGTGTGTTTTCAAAACAGGTAGGGGGCGCGCGCCAGGAGTGCCGCTGCCCTACCGATCACAGCAGCGGATGTCAGTCGCCGGGTCACAGCCGGTCATTTACCGGCTATGTCCCGGCGATTATTGGCAATCACTGACAGAGAGCACAGCTGCAGTAGCTGTGCTTTCTGTCAGTTCCCCGACAGCTCCCGACACGCTGATCGGGACAGAAGATCAGTGTGTCTCCGCCCCCTAGTAAAACACTCCCCCTCACACAGTTAACCCTTTTACTGAATAATAAAGTTAACCCCTTCCTCCCCAGTGCCATTAGTACAGTGTCAGTGGATTTTTGCACTGATCACTGTATTGGTGTCACTGGGGATGTCAGTGACCCCAAGTCAGTACTCCCCCAGTGTCAGAATGTCCACCGTAGTCCCGCAGTCGCCCGCCATAAATTGCTGATCGCCGCCATTATTAGTAGTATAAAAAAAAAAAAAAAAAAAAAAAAAAAAATCCCAGTATCTTTCCCGCCATTTGTAAACGCTATAACTTTCACGTAAACCAATTAATTTACACGTATTGGGTTTTTTTTAGCAAAGACATGTCGCAGAATGCATTTTGGCAGAAATTTATGACTAAATTTTATTTTTAAATTTTTTTTTTACTGGACATGTTTTATAGCAAAAAGTCCAAAATATTGTTTTTTTTTCCTCAAAATTGTCAGCCTTTTTTTTTTATAGCGCAAAAAATAAAAAAAAAAACGCACAGGTGATCAAATACCACCGAAAGAAAGCTCAATTTGTGGGAAAAAAAAAGGTGCAATTTCATTTATGTACCGTATTGCATGACCGCGCAATTGTCCGTTAAACTAGCGCAGCGCTGTATAGCAAAAAAATGGCGTAAATTGCAGTATCTATACCATAGTTTGTAGACGCTATAACTTCACACAAAGCAATCAATATACACTTATTGGGATTTTTTTTACCAAAAACATGGAGCAGAATACATTTTGGCCTAAATTTATAACCAATTTGAGTGTACTATATATGTTTTATAGCTGAAAATAAAAAATATAGTTTTTCTTCAAAATTTTTGGCCTTTTTTTGTTTATAGCGTGAAAAATAAAAAGCGCACAGGTGATCAAATACCACCGAAAGAAAGCTCTATTTGTGTGAAAAAAAGGACGTAAATTTAGTTTGGGTGCAGCATTGCATGACCGCGCAATTATCAGTTGAATTAGTGCAGCGCCGAGTAGCAAAAGGAGACCTGGTCATTAAGGGGGTAAATCCTCAGGAGGGCGAGTGGTTAAGCACAGAAATTCATTTTTATTGCGCGTGTCATACAGAACAAAAAAAATTTGCACCAACTGTTCCAGAGTAGTTCTCCTTTAAGACATTTCAACATTTACTGCATTACAATGAATCGTTACATGAAATGCAATGATTGACGATTTTAAACACAAAAAGCCCGTCCTTACAGCAGGACCATGCAATAAAAAGTATAAAACTAGAAGTCTTATGGTCAAAAAAAAAAAAAAAAAAAAATCCTCTCAAAACCGTCTCCATCGTGGAGGACTAGAAGCAAAGCTGAATGACCGATACAGTCTGTGGCAGCCGCATCGGCAGGGTATGCGAACTGTGCTGGGATTTGGATTAATGCGTTTTCATGACATAAATACTAAGAAAGGCGCCTCTTATCTCTGGTGATACCAGCGCTGACCAAGAAGAGTTCTGGAACTTTCAGTTTATCTTCCTTTTAAAAAAAAAAAAAACATGTTGGTCTGTCCTTCAGACACAGACAACGGGAAGAGTCCTTAGCGATACGGCTGATATCTCTGATTGCCGGAATTGTAGGCGTGGTGTCTGTCCTGGTGATAGTGAGAGCGCTCCTGGCGGTATTGGGATTGGCTGTTACCCCAGCCCCTCCCTCCGTGGTGCTGGTTATAGCTGTTGTACGAATCCCGCCTATTATCCCAGCCGCGGTGGCGCCGGTTATCTCGGTACCTGTCAACAAATCCAACAAATCCAAGTCATTCAATATTAGAAGACAATTAGCCATTGCTTATAGTTTTGCTACTCGCTGGCTTTTAACCCTTTTAATGGCACCGCTGTGTGTATTATGGAGGGGAGGGGGGGGCTTTACACACCCAGAAGTGTACACTCCACAAGCTGACTGTCCGCTTTCTAATTGAGTGCCCCATAACCTGTGTCGGGGGGGGGGGGGGAGGGGATCTGCCCCATCACCCTGTCGGGGGGGGGGAATGCCCCATCACCCGTGTCGGGGGGGGGGGGGAGGGGGATCTGCCCCATCACCCGTGTCGGGGGGGGGGGAATGCCCCATCACCCGTGTCGGGGGGGGGGGGTGGGCGAATGCCCCATCACCCGTGTCGGGGTGGGGGAATGCCCCATCACCCGTGTCGGGGGGGGGGGGTGCCCCCCCATCAGCCGTGTCGGGGGGGGAATGCCCCATCAGCCGTGTCGGGGGGGGGGGGGGGGGGGGGAATGCCCCATCACCCGTGTCAGTGGGGGGAAAAGTGTGCCCCATCGCCCGTGTTAGTGGGGGGGGGGGAGAGTGTCCCATCCCTGGTGTCAGTGGGAGGAATAGTGCCCCATCATTGGTATCAGTGGGAGGAATAGTGCCCCATCATTGGTATTAGTGGGAGGAATGGTGCCCCCCCCATCATTGGTGTCAGTGGAGGAATAGTGCCCCATCATTGGTGTCAGTGGGAGGAATAGTGCCCCATCATTGGTGTCAGTGGGAGGAAAAGTGCCCCATCATTGGTATCAGTGGGAGGAATAGTGTCCCATCATTGGTGTCAGTGGGAGGAATAGTGCCCCATCATTGGTGTCAGTGGGAGGAATAGTGCCCCATCATTGGTGTCAGTGGGAGGAATAGTGCCCCATCATTGGTGTCAGTGGGAGGAATGGTGCCCCATCATTGGTGTCAGTGGGAGGAAAAGTGCCCCATCATTGGTATCAGTGGGGGGAATAGTGCCCCATCATTGGTGTCAGTGGGGGGAATAGTGCCCCATCATTGGTGTCAGTGGGAGGAATAGTGCCCCAAGGGCCGGGTAAAACCAAGCAAAGGGCTGCATCCTGAAGACTAGGGATATAGATGGTAATTACCACTTAATGCAAATTAGCTGATTAATCGGTTCATCATAAAGCTCCTCTAGCCGGCTACTTCTCAGTGACAACAATCTCAAAAGCAATAGCTCAGGCACTGAAACGCCATCAGTATACAGGTGTCATGTACCTATCCTGGTTTCTTTGGTGCCCCCCCCACCATTCTTCGACAAGGGGGAGGCTGGCTCTCCGGCGCTTTCACATATTCCTGATACTCCTCGTCCCGTTCTGTGAAGCGATCAGCAAACATATCTTCATACATCTTTTTTACATCCGATGTATCTGTCATCCTGAAAAACACACAGAAAGCTCAGGAGAAGTAAAAGTGAGGATGTGTGACACCCCTGCTAGTGGTAATTGGTACATCCCGCCCACCGGCTCAACTTAGATCACTGGCAGTCTTCGAGGGGCCCCAAACCTCACATATTTAACCCCTTTCCAGTCCGGACACTTTTCCCCCCCCCTTCCAGTCCGGATGCTTTCCCCCCCCCCCAGTTCCAGTCCGGACGCTCTCCCCCCCCCCCCCTTCCAGTCCGGGACGCTTTCCCCCCCCCCCCCCCTCCAGTCCGGACACTTTCCCCCCCCCCCCCCTTGCAGAGAAGTTCCAGTCCGGACGCTTTCCCCCCCCCCCCCCCAGTTCCAGTCCGGACGCTTCCCCCCCCCTTCCAGTCCGGATGCTTTCCCCCCCCCCCCCCCCTTCCAGTCCGGACGCTTTCCCCCCCCCCCTTCCAGTCCGGACGCTTTCCCCCCCCCCCCCCCCTTCCAGTCCGGACGCTTCCCCCCCCCCTTCCAGTCCGGACGCTTTCCCCCCCCCCCCCCCCCCCCTTCCAGTCCGGACGCTTTCCCCCCCCCCCTTCCAGTCCGGACGCTTTCCCCCCCCCCCCCCCCCCCCTCCAGTCCGGACGCTTTCCCCCCCCCCCCCCTTCCAGTCCGGACGCTTTCCCCCCCCCCCCCCCTTCCAGTCCGGACGCTTTCCCCCCCCCCCCCTTCCAGTCCGGACGCTTTCCCCCCCCCCCCTTCCAGTCCGGACGCTTTCCCCCCCCCTTCCAGTCCGGACGCTTTCCCCCCCCCCCCCTTCCAGTCCGGACGCTTTCCCCCCCCCCCCCCTCCAGTCCGGACGCTTCCCCCCCCCCCAGTCCGGACGCTTCCAGTCCGGACGCTTCCCCCCCCCCTTCCAGTCCGGACGCTTCCCCCCCCCCCTTCCAGTCCGGACGCTTCCCCCCCCCCTTCCAGTCCGGACGCTTCCCCCCCCCCTTCCAGTCCGGACGCTTTCCCCCCCCCCCTTCCAGTCCGGACGCTTTCCCCCCCTTCCAGTCCGGACGCTTCCCCCCCCCCCCCCTTCCAGTCCGGACGCTTTCCCCCCCCCCCCTTCCAGTCCGGACACTTTCCCCCCCCCCCCCCCCTTCCAGTCCGGACACTTTCCCCCCCCCCCCCTTCCAGTCCGGACGCTTTCCCCCCCCCCTTCCAGTCCGGACGCTTTCCCCCCCCCTCTTCCAGTCCGGACGCTTTCCCCCCCCCCTTCCAGTCCGGACACTTTCCCCCCCCCTTCCAGTCCGGACACTTTCCCCCCCCTTCCAGTCCGGACACTTCCCCCCCCCTTCCAGTCCGGACACTTCCCCCCCCCCCTTCCAGTCCGGACACTTTCCCCCCCTTCCAGTCCAGGCCAATTTCAGCGCTATCACACTTTGAATGACAATTGCGCGGTCATGCAACACTGTACCCATAGGAATTTTTTAGCACTTTTTTGAGACAGATAAAACTTTATTTTGGTGGTATTTATTCACCGCTGGCATTTTTATTTTTTCTGCTATATAAATGAAAATGTCCAAACATTTTGAAAAAAAAAAAAAAAGTGTTTTTCTTATAAAATTATGCAAATAAATAATCTTTCTTCATAAATCTTGTCCAAAATGTATTTAGTTATCCTTTAAGTAAAAGAAAAACCCAAATTAGTTTATAACCAAAAATTCTAATTTTTCTAATTTTTTTTACATTTTAATTTTTATATTATTTATGTTTTTTTTAAACATACTGTCACCCTAGCAGTACAGTGTTACCTCCCGTTTGAGGTCTGGTTCACACCAATATGTTTTTTTAGGGCTTTTTGCGAAAATGCACTTCAGTCCATTTAGCATGTTTTTTTTTGCTGTATAAATGAAAAAGTCCAAAAATGTGTTTTTCTTATAAAATTTTGCAAATAATCTTTCTTCATAAATCTTGGCCAAAATGTATTCAGTTATCTTTTTAGTTAAAAAAAAAAAAAAAAAAATTCAAAAATTAGTTTATATCCAAAAATAATTAAAAAAAAATATTTTTAAATTTTTTTTTATTATTTATGTTTTTTTTTAACATACTGTCACCCTAGCAGTACAGGGTCACCATAGTGACACTGCACTACTTGTGGGGGGTGATGAAGATTTTTTTTTTTTTTTTTACAGCGATTGCTGTTACACCCATATAGGATATAAAAGCAATCATTTCTCCTTCTCTCTGGATGCATTCTTGCAGACATTGAGAACTTTTTTTTACATTTTTTATATTATTTATGTTTTTTTTTACATACTGTCACCCTAGCAGCACAGTGTCACCATGGTGACACTGTACTAATTGTGGGGGGTGATGAAGATTTTGTTGTTTTTTTTTTTAACGCAGATTGCTTTTACACCCATAAAGGCTATACAAGCAATCATTTCTTCTCTCTGGCTGCATTCTTGCAGCCATTGAGAACTACTGTATGAGCTGTGATTGGTCACAGCTTATCACATGGTACAGGGCTATTCACAACAGCCTTGTACCATGTGACCTGTGATCATTCACAGATTTCACACGTAGTAAGCAATGATGTCACAAGTGACATCTTGCTTACTACTCTGCATGTGATCACTGATTGGCCAATCAGTGATCACATAATTGGGACCTCGTAGAGAGGTCCGTCCGACGATCCGTGTTTTACTGTGTCCGGAGGACACAGCGGGCAGCGGATCTCGGTGCTTCGCGCTCCCAGCTAGAAATGGCGGGTGCCGTTTATGAACAGCAACCCGCCCCTGGAGTGCCACCGCCCTGCCGTTTATAAACAGCAGGCGGACAGCAAGTGGTTAAGACAGGAAGTGAACTGCTTTATTTTAACACAAACACCAGATATATATAACATGATATGGAAATACAACCAGGAACAGGAAACACATCAGCAGGCGGACCCATCAAAGGGAAGGGCTGCAGGACACACCCCCCCCCACCAAACCAAGATACACAATAGAACAATGGGACAAAGCACTTGGCAGTGAACAATGAACAACCCCCACACCAATACACAAATATTACATCCCATAATAGTTTGCTAGAACAATGGGATGCAGCCCCATGGTAGAGAACAATGAACAACCCCCACCCCAATATTAGACCATTTCACCCTGTACCCCTAACAGGCACAGGGTGACTTACACACAAGAGGAATATGGGGAGCTGATACAGGGGTCCCCCCAACCCCAACCCCAAAAGTCACTCCCGTCACAATATATATTCGTTTTTAAAAACTGAGCATTTCGGTTTTTTCGGCCAAGTGCGTTTTAAATTTTATTTATTGGTTTTGGCACCAGAATTTTTTATTTTGGTGCACCACTAAATAAAAGTGATATAAAAAAAAATAATTAAAGGGGCAGTGTAAAAAATAAAAAAAAATAAATGAATGAAAACATTTTTTTAAACCACCCCTATCATTCGCTTGGGCGCAGAAGCGAACGCATACGTAAATCACGCACACATATGTAAAGGGTGTTTGCAGCACATGTGACGTATCGCCACAAGCGTTAGAGCGAGAGCAATCATTCTAGAGCCAGACCTCCTGAGTAACTCTAATCACGCAACCTGTAAAAATTATTCAGCATCACCTATGGAAATTTAAGTACCGAAAATTGTCGCCATTTAATTTTAAAGCGTGACACGTTAGGTATCTACTTTCTCGCCGTAACATCCTCTTTCATATTTGACAAAAAAAAAAATGGGGTATATCATTTGTTTTTATTTTTAATTCACTAAAGTGTATTTCTTAAAAAAAAAAAAAAAAATTGCTCTGCAAAATTGCTACAAGTACAACGTGACATAAAAAAAAATGTCATTCTCTAGGGTCTTTGTTAAAAAAAAAAAATTATAATATATATATATATATATATATATATATATAAATAAAATGGGGTTTTTAAGTAATTTTCTAGAAAAAAAAATACCGATTTAAATTGTAAACAAAACGTCATAGATTTTCTATTTTTGGCCTTTTTGTAAATAAAAAAATGTTTCGGGCAAAAAAAAAAAGGTTGAATCCTGGAGGCCCTCTGATCCCACCATGGAGGAAGAGAGCTCCGAGGAAGCAGTAAAGAGACCCTAAAGGAGAATGACCAGCCGCCTCCCCACCGTGACCGGGCCCAACACCGACTCACCTGACACAAGAACCGAATACAACCAGCACAATCGAGGATCACACACACACTAGACGTCGCAGGATAGTGACATCATCAGTTTACACCCTCTGTGGGTGGATGACACGAACGGCTCTGGTCGCAAACTGGAACGCCCTTTCCGACAGGAAACATGTGACCTCCACTCCACCATTTTTTCTTTTGAATGAACTTCAAAAAACAACCAATGGCTGCAGACTGGAGCTCCACTCGACAGGAAACATGTGACTTCAACTACAACTTTTTTTTTTTTTTTTTTAAATGAACTTTAATTTAAAAAAACACCAATAGAAACTCAAGGAAGCGGAAGTCACATATTTCTTGTCGCATCTGCATTTCCCGAAGGAATATTGCTGCAGACTGGAGCTCCACTCTCGACAGGAAACATGTGACCTCTACTCGAATTTTTTTTCTTTATAAAAATTAACTTTAATTAAACTAACAACCACTAGACACAACTCAAGGAAGTGGAGGTCACGTGTTTCTTGTCACATCTATATTTCCCATGGGTAACTGGCTGCAGATTGGAGCTCCACTCTCGACAGGAAACATGTGAGCTCAACTCCAACTTTTTTTTTTTTTTTAATGAACTTTAATGTAAAAAAAAAACAATAGACACTCAAGGAAGTGGAGGTCACATGTTTCTTGTCACGTTTGCATCTGGAATCTTGTTGCAGACTGGAGCTCCACTCTCGACAGGAAAACATGTGACCTCCACTTCAATTTTTTTTTTTCTCTATAAAAATTAACTTTAATGAAACAAACAACCACTAGACACAACTCAAGGAAGTGGAGGTCACATGTTTCTTGTCACATCTGTATTTCCCATGGTTATCTG